AAAAGTATAACGTTAGAATTTTAAAATAATAATCACATAGAACATGCTTCTATTTTTACTTTGTATTCTTCTAAAGGATCTAGTTCAGATCCTTATAAAGAAGGTAGCAAATTAATAACTCAACTGAAATTTTTCTATCACTTAAACAAGATTGAAACAAGTTTAGAATTGTTTAATAGGAAGAAGGTTAATATTAAGAAATGCAAAAAAAATCACAAGATAATAAAAATATGTACAAAAGATCTACACAAAGTTATTCATTTATTTATAAAAATACAACTTCTAAGTGCAAGAACAATACTCTACTCTGGACGTGAAGTTTTTAAAGATTTACCTCATGACATACAAATAAACTTCGTATTTACTACTTGAGGCAAAAAATACAATTCAATAAATTTTTAGTGAGCATCTACTATGTGCCAGCCTCTGGAAATACAAAATGTGGAGACTGGGTCCTTATAGTCATCCAGAAAAGACAAACTTACAAACACTTTTCAGTAAGATCCCTTCTGGCTGGCAAGTGGGATGAACCTTCAAGAATGAATAGGATTTTGACTGGCAAAAGAGGATAGGGAGGATATTCTAGTGGCAGAAAAATATGACCACAGACAAGGAAATAAAAAAAGAGTAAAAATCATAACACAATGGAAATATATCAGGTATAAGTTAAAGAATTTAAATCTGAATTTAAAGAATGACAAAAAGTAGTATCGTTAAAAGATTACTCAGCAATATGAATGCTGGATTTGACCAGGGAGAGAAGATATGGGGAAAGCAATTAGCTATTACTATACTCTAGGGATAAAAATAATAAAGACATAAAGTAGGTTGATAGTGAGAATGGCAAGGAAAAGAAATGATGCAAAGGCAAGTGTGAAAAAGATCGATTGGATATATAATATGAAGACAAGGAAAGGAAGAAACAATAATTAAAATGTTTAAAAATTGATGTAGATGTCAAAGCTTCCTATCAAGAATGTTATGTAGAGGAAATAATTTAAATGGCACATTCTTTTAATCACAAAGTGATTTAATGACATTATTAACAAAAAGTGGCATCAATGAGAAGAGCAAACTTGGTGAAGAAAGAAAAGTTTAATTTCAGGTTGAATTGATAAAAGTGGATTATAAAATTAAATTACAATGATAAAAATCCATATTTTAATAAGATTATTTGAAGAAATCACTAAGGTAAATAAAGTACAGTACTCATTATTCTATGGCAAAAGGATGAACTTCTATTTACTATATTACAACCTAAAGATATATTTTAAAATATAAAATCACAATAAATTGCATAATAAATCAATACTTCATCAGCAGAAAGATGGAAATGAGGGATTGGAGGACTGAAGAAATATGAGAAATGGAAACTGACTTAGAAGCCCATGGCACAGAGCAAGTAGATAAAATTTTAAGGTTAAAAAACAAAAGGCTATACTAAAATTTATTGGAAGAAATCTCAGTCCTGCCTTTTATGCACACCAATATTAGTAAGAATTGACAATAAAATATTCTATAGAAAACTCTAATATTTCTCTCCTAAATCTTTATAAAGTAAACTGAAGTATAAATCACGTAAGTGTAAAACTACCGGGTAGCTATAAAATTAGAGCTGATTGTCACTCACTGTAGAAATGAAAATATACTCTAGACTTCAGTTCTAGAAAATCATATGTTTATATCATTAGTTCCATAAGTTTTCTAGCTGTGGAGGAGTGGGCTATTCTAGAGACCAACATAGCAAATTTGACAAGAAACACCGCTTTTCCCCCCCTACAGGCATGACATATTTCTTTTTAAAATTGATTTTAGAGGAGGATGAAGGGGTGAGAGGAAGAGAGAGACAGAGAGAGAAACAACGATGTTAGAGAGATACATGAATCAGTTGCCTCCTGTATTTCTAGGGATGGACCTGGGAACCCAGGTATGTGCCTAACAGGGATTGAACCCATGACCTTACGCAGCAGGGGAGCAAGCTCCAACCAACTAAGCCACACTGGCCTGGGCTGCATAGCATATTTCTATACAAAAAACCTGATTATCTTTTGTAACTTTTAACCAATTAAGAAACATTTAACTAATTAATTAAGAAACTTTTAAATATAATCTGCTTATATTAAAACATGGAGGCAAATATTATATTAAGAAGTATATTTGTGAGTTGTGATATCCCTAAAACTTTTCTCCTAATAGTGAAATTTAGGACACTTGATCAGAACCAGAAAAGTAAATGAATATTCCAAAACATTAACCAATAATTAATCTAGTAAAAACATTTAAAGTATTTTATGATCTATAATTTAAGTATTTAAAACAAGCAGCAATCAAGAGATCCCTTAAAAGCTTAACATTTTCTTGTAATTCTTTTATTTAAATGAGTCTTATTTATCACCTTTCACTATCTGCAATCTGTTATCCTAAATTCCACAGGCAAACTCCTTGCGCTCAAAATCACAATGGGGGAAAAGGTAGAAGAGTTAATAAAGGAGTAATGAGAGTGAAGAAAAGGTAGTAAATATTTTAATGCTTGATATTTTAAAGATCTTGGCTTCTCTGATTTAAGGAATGTGCAGATAAATTAACAAAAAAAAAGTGTATGCAAATGATTATGTATAAACTTGGAAACTTCTGCTTAACCGCTTGTCAGCTAAAACAAAATACCCAATAAAGACTAAACCTCCATAATGCCAAACTAACCACTGAAGTCAGTTATTAGGAAAGACACTGATAAGTCTGATAATTCTTGCACCATGTCCAAATTGAGAGGAAATAAAATAAAAACTTTAAGAAGTCTGTTACATGTTTTTCTCTGCCTACCTAAGCCAATATTAGAAAATTTTCTTCACAAATTGGATTCCTCCACCACAGTAATAACTTTACATTTCTATTTGACAATTTTATTTTTTTTAAATATATTTTATTGATTTCTTACAGAGAGGAAGGGAGAGAGAAAGAGAGCCAGAAACGTCGATGAGAGAGAAACATCTGCCTCTTGCACACCCCCCACTGGGGATGTGCCCGCAACCAAGGTACATGCCCTTGACCGGAATCGAACCTGGGACCCCCCCAGTCCGCAGATGGAGGCTCCACCACGGAGCCAAACCGGCTTCGGCTCTATTTGACAATTTTAATGAAGCATATTGATGTAAAACCATTATCAACTGTATCCTGACCTCAGGCATACAATAACTGTCTTTCAGAATCAATTCCAAATTAAAATGTATAAATCACATTGAAAGAAATATGAAAAGATTCACTGCATATAATTACATAATCAAACCTATTTTCACTCTCAACACCATGTTTTTAGAATTTAGAATTATGCTATGCCTTAAAATAAACTTTAGCCAAATATGTATTACAGACCCTGAATTAATGAAAGAAAGATTTAAAAATCTTGGTATATTTTTACAGGGTGCCACATTCTGAATTCAAGATTTGACCTGTAATTTGTCAGTCATTTCGGTTCATCCAGTAAACTTTGTAAACAAAGGCTATAAGCCAAGTTTGATATTAGAATTCAATTAAACTTAAAGCAATGGTCATTCATTGAACAGGAAGTAAAAGGAAAAACGCCACCACACACCTCTCTGAAAAAGGCAGCAAGGTAACATACATAAAATATAAAGTCTTAACTTTCAACCTCCCAAACAAGTTTCTGTTACAATATCAATCTAAACAAAGCTACAATCCATACAATCAAGGCAACTTGGAGACACTGTACAAGTCTTTTCAAGGTTGAGGGGAAGCTTTACAGTAGAGTCGTTCTCTAGTAGCTCCGGAGTTGCCCACTGAGAAAGTGGAAAGAGTCCGGTCTTGTCACCTATTACCACGACTAAAAACTGTTCTTTTTATGCAGAACCCTAAGAGGTTGGGTTGCTTTCGGCCTGTTAAAGGCAAAGGAACATTATCTCCGGATTGCCAATAGTTTCTCCTTATTTGGCTAACATTGAGAGATCCCAATCAGACTACTATAAAACTTTAACATGCACAGAGCATCCATTTTGAGAAAAGTTTGTGACCAGCTTCCCACCTCCACACACACACACACACACACACACACACACACACACACACACACAATAAATAAAAAATAAAAATAAAAAATAAAAAATCAGGGCCTGGTAAACTGGCTGTGAAAAGAGTGCCCGGCGTTTATTCTCCTTCTAAACGCGGCGCACAGTCCGGGGACCTGGGGCTCGAGGACCCCCTGACGCTGCGGCAAACTCTTCATTCAATACTTTGGGGTCCGGCGGCGGTGGGCATGCCCCTAAGAACGCCCCCGTCCCCGGCCCCGTCCCCTCCGGTTCGCCGGTGCAGATCAGCTCATCACACCCCGTTTCCCCCTCCCCAGGGACCCAGAGCAATAAAGCACAAAACAGGAAATCGTCCGCTCGGGGCTCTAGGCTTAGGGCTGTTGATTACTATCACTATCATCATCATCATCATCATCATCATCATCGTTGTCGTCGTCATCATCATTTGTAATCAAGTCCTACAAAACTACAACACATCCGATGCCCCTAAAATGCCCAAGACGTCCCCCCTGCCCAGCGTCCCTAACGCGCCCTGCCTGTGGGTCCTCTCCCGCAGCATCTCCATCGTCCCCGGCCGATCACTGACACCGCGGGCCCCGGGCTCAGCCACACTACACCCACCCGTCCCGGCCCGGATCCCCAATCCCTGAAACACGCCCACAGGTGGCCCTGGGGGGGCCCCCCGGCCGACCACGGTCCCCTTTCCCCTCGGCCCCGGAAATCCGCCGGTTCCAACTCCACCGCCGCCAACCGGTCCGAAGGGGCCTCCAGCCCGGCGCCCTCCCGCCGCCAAGTCCTCTCCCTCCCTCCCTCTTCACCCTCCCTCTGTCCGTCCGTCCACAGCCGGCCCGGCCTCGGGAGGCCCGGAGCGGAGGGAGGCCCCGGCCCCGGGCGGGCGGGCGGGCGGGAGAGCGAGGGAGGGCCCGCGGGGTCGGCGCAGGGGCGGCGGGGCGCACAGACCTGGTGCAGGGCGGTGAGTCCGTCCACATTGGCGTAATTGATGTCGGCGCCGCGGTGCAGCAGCTTGAGCACCTCGTCCGTGTCGCCGCTGGAACAAGCAGCCAGGAAGACGGCGCCATCGTCGAACTTCACCTTGGTCTTCTGGCGCTTCACCACGGGAGGCTCGAGGTCCGTCTCGGAGCCGATCCAGCGCTTCAGCTGCTCGTTCCGCTTCTGCTTCGCGTCCGCCATCTTCATCCCCTCTCCTGCCGCCGCCGCCGGGTCTTCTTATCGGGAGGAGAAAGGGGGAGGCGGCGAGGGGAGCGAGGGGAGGCAGGAGGGGGGGTTGTGTGTGTGTCTGACGGCCCCTGCGAGTGCGGGCCGGAGGCGGGCTGCGAGCCGGGAGGCGACGCTCGAGACTTCCAGTTTCCCACAGAGCACTGGGGCGGCGCGCCGGCCCAGCGGACCTCCCTTTCTAGCCGCGGAGCCCTCCCGCCCCCGGCCGGCCGCCCGTCACCGGCGGCCCGAGGAGCGTAACTTCGCGAGATCCGGGCAGGGAGGCGCCCGCGGCCGCCGCGCATGCGCACTGGGCCTGCGCCCGCCCCAGGAAGAGAGAGAGAGAGAGCTGCTGCGAACGGGCGGGGGCGGCGGCCACCGGAGGGAAGCGGGTGTGGCCCGGCCGCCCGGGCCGCGGGGGCTGGGACGGACCTGACAGGGCGGGGACGGGGCAGGAAGGTTGGCCGGCCCGGCTGAGGGCTCCTGAGGTTCCGGAGGCCAACCGCCGGGCTGTCGGGGCGGCTCTCTCGGGGCAGTTTTACTTCCTGCGCTGTCACAGCTCCTCGGGAGTCGTTGGCGCTGGGCGGGGTATTCCTATTGGCTGCGTTATTTGAATGGAGTGGAGGATCGGTTGTGGATTTAGAGCTTGTGATTTCCCAAAGGGACTCGGGTGAACTTGGACGAGTCGGTATTGATCAGAACTTCCTAAAAGGGGGGTCCGCAGAGCCAGGGGCGTGGGTGGTCCCGACGCCCAGCCCGACCTCAGCGAGGTGCCGCCTGGTGACGGGGGTCGACCTGCGGCAATCGCGCTGGCTTCCTGCCAGCGGCCGCCAGGGAAACGTCTTTCCTCTTAAGCCTGTTTTGTTTTATTGTTTTTTTTGTTTGTTTTTTTTTTACTTTGTTTTGTTTTTCTCTTCACGTATTTTGAGTCCTCTTTCTTCCGTTTTCTTCAAGGCTTTAAGCCTGTTGTCCGGTGTTGCCCAGGAGCTTAGCTCAGCTCTGTTGCTAGTCCTGACCTTTTAAGGGATTTCTGTCTCTGCTCCGTCGCTTTCTAAGGATGGGTAAGGACTCAACTGCTTCTGGAGTTAACAAGGAATGTTAATAGTACACAGTTAAATTCAACCGGTATTTATTAAATACCTATTATGAGCATCGGTCCTAGGCACTATTGATACAATCACGACAGTGACATTTTAAACCATCTTTTGAGGTCACGTGTTAAAAAAAAGATATAATTTATCAACACACTAAAGACTTCGTAACTAACTTTATGACACACTACACACGATTTGTAACGAATACTAATGTCTTCAATATTTTAAAATATATACATATTTTATTGATTTTTTTTTACAGAGAAGAAGGGAGAGGGAGATGTCTTCAATATTTTTTTTTCCTATTACAGTTGACATTCAATATTATATTAGTTTCAGGTGTATAGCACAGCGGTTAGACCTTTATATATGAAGTGATCCCCTACTATAAGTCTAGTACTCATCTGGCACCATACATAGTTATTACAATATTATTGACTATATTACCTACCTGTGCTGTGTTTGATATCCGCAGGATTATCTGCAAGACTACCAATTTGTACTTCTTAATCCCTTCACCTTAACTTTCTTCCTCTCCCCTCCACCCCCAAATACTACTGTCTTTTGAGCTATTTACAATCTCCACCAATTGATATTTTAAACACTCCACTATTTTCATCTGGTTTTCAGAGCATAGAGGCAAAACAAGAAACACTTTACCACTTTATCATTGACTGAAACTTTAGGGGCCTTCAATTCTGAGTCCCCAAAGAGTTTCTTACTCAGCAACAGGATCAGGATTTCTTCAACAAATTTTATGCTCCTGGACTGTGTCAAGCATTATTCTAGATGTGGCAGATACAGAGGTTAACAATTAAGCTTTTCTTATTCTCCAGTAAACTATATCGAAAGCCTATCTTGTTGAGAAACAAAATAATACTTGAGTAAAATGTGACTAGGAAACCACCTGCCTGTTTGAATTTTCTGAACTACAATTACTAGGTCAGCAATAGAACCTGTTAGGATAAAAATATTTCCCCTGAAATATTATAGAAATAGAAAATGTGCGTAATATGCATAAAATGCATCAATGGTAATGTCAGACTTTTGAACATGATGGTGTTAGGTGATGAAGAATTCTGTTAGTACTAAAATCCAAAAATTCCTATTCACTTAAAAGCCTCCAGACTACATCTCTTAGAACAAAAGATAGGAATTTGTGGGTTGCCTTGTCAACTACTTTTTCTACCTAGAAAAACAGCTTAGTCTTACTCTTTTCCAAGAATGTTATGTTCTATTTCGTAGCTCTTAAAGTGCTCTGGGTTATAGATTGTTATCTCAAGTTTTCATTTGAGCTAGAGTTTGGTGGGAATTATGCTATCTCTATGCAATCACTCCAAGATATAAAATTAACAGACAAAATAATAGTTCATTAATAAAACATAAGTAGTTAGATATCAGTCCTAAGGCTACCTGTCAAAAACCCACCTGGGCTATTAATGTATGCAAATTTCACCGAGTTTAGCTTTTCTTCCCCAGGTCTACTTCCTAGTTCTAGGTCCATCTAATTAGAAGTGCCCTTTTTTCTTCCCCCTTTGGAGGTACTCTTAAATTGCCACCTACTTGGATTTTTAAGGAGAATTTTTTAAATATTGTTATTGAACTTATAATACTGAAGACCTACATTTTTTCCCCCCAGAACAGCCAAAACATTTTAAAAAAAGAACACTTAAGTTCCTCATCAGGTGTGGCTCAGTGGTTCCATGTCAACCTATGAACCAGGAGGTCAATGTTTGATTCCTGGTTAGACCACATGCCTGGGTTTTGTTTAGGGCTCAATGCCCAATGATGAAACATCTCTCATCATTGATGTATCTAGCTCTCTCTTCCTCTCCCTTCCTCTATGAAATCAAACAAAAAAACCAGTAGTTCATGTTACTTTAATAGTAAGGTGACCAGACATCCTGCTTTTGGCGGAACAGTCCCAATTTTTAACAATTTGTCCCACGTCCTACAGTGTTTAAAAAAAGTCCCTAATCAGGATTGTCCCCCCAAAAGCGGGACATCTGGTCACCTTACTTAATAGCTGAGTGAACTTAAAATTTTAAGCAGCCCAGGCTGGTGTGGCTAAAGTGTTGGCCTGCAGACTGAAGGGTCCTGGGATCAATTATGGGCCAGGGTACATGCCCAGGTTTTGGGCTACATTCCCAGTAGGGGGCATGCAGGAGGCAGCTGATCAGTGATTCTTTCTCATCACTGATGTTTTTCTCTCTTTCTCCCTCTCCCTTCCTCTCTGAAATCAGTAAACACATAAACACACACACACACACACACACACACACACACACACACACACAAACTAAGCATAAGAAGAAATTGAGAAATGCAAATATTTTCATAAGGCTTCTAAGTAGATTGGGGTGTGATGATACTTTTTAGCACCTTTAAAACAACCTAAGCCTTAAAATAGAAGTGAAAATTAAATGATATTAATTTGCTAATTTTTTTTCTTTATTGCAGCAAATCATTTGTTCATTTTGAGTATTCAGTTGATATCTTTTTCAAAGCTTAATTACATTACAGATATCCTCTAATAACCATCAATTTACTTGTTAAAAAATTCAAGCTTTGTGTGAATTTTTTTCTGTTCTCTCTCTTTCTCTCTCTCTCTGATGTACCATCACCTAAAGAATCCAGCATAATATGATACTCTTATTAATATCTAGAGAATGTAGTACAAAAGCTTTTGAATATATGGCCTTAGTTTAGTATTAACCAATGTGGAATTTTATTTATTCATTTATTACTGAACCTAAACTTGAAAATGTATTGTTTGATTATGTTGCAATATGTGAACACAGACAAAATGAAATTTTTAAAGTCAACCCAAGGGAAAAAAATAAGAATTTCGGAATTAGTTCCATAAAAGATTAGTTATTTGCCATTTGGTAAAAAAAAAACAACTTTTTCATATGCAAAAATAAGTTAGTTTCTGTTATAAAGAAAATACTGTGAATCCTTCAGATCAAAGTTGTTTCTTTGCTTGTTGAATTGATAGCGCACTGCTTTACTGATCATTACATTCTTTTTAAAAAATATATTGATTTTTTTTACAGAGAGGAAGGGAGAAGGATAGAGTTAGAAACATTGATGAGAAAGAAACACCAATCAGCTGCCTCTTGCACACCTCCTACTGGGGATGTACCCACATCCAAGGTATTGATACATGCCCTTGACTGGAATCAAACCTGGGACCTTTCAGACCACAAGCAGACACTCTATCCACTGAGCCAAACAAGTTAGGGGTGATCATTATATTCTTTATGAAATAATAATGAAGGTATATATAATTTATACAATGTAATATATGAAAAGTTTCTATAAACCAACTTTTCTGTTTAGTGAATCTTTTATTATATAATTGGAAATGTATTTTGGTACAAAATGTACATAATATATTGATAAGTACTTCTAAGTCATATATGTAAATTCTCCTCAGCCTCAGTCCAAACCTGAGATTCTAATTTACATTTATACATTTGAGAATAGAATAGCTAACAAGGCAGTTTGTTCTTACTTCCTGTACTCTACATCTAGGCTCTCTTCTATTGTGTAATAATTTCTTTCCAATGTTGTTTTTAGAAACCTAAAGAAAAGTTTATATATAATTTGTTAGCATTTTATTTTTTATTGATTTTTTAGGGGAGAGAGAGAAACATCAATTTGTTGTTCCACTTATTTATGCGTTCATTTGTTGATGTTTTTGTGTAGCCTGACTGGGATCAAATTTGCAACCTTGATTTATTGGAACTATGCTCTAACCAGCTGAGCTAACAAGTCAGGGCCATAATTTGCTAGAATTTTAAATTAGCCCCACCTACTTTGTTAACTGGAACCAACAATGAACCACCCTAAATTGCTTCAGACTCTACTTTTAGACCAATCTTG